AAACCTAAGGAAGGAGATGAAAATTATTCTGCTTGGAGAAAGGTGGATTGGATGATTATATCCTGGATTTAAAACTGTTTAACAAAGGACATTGCAGAAACCTTCGTTTATGGTGATTCTTCGAAAAAGTTGTGGGAAGAAATTGGGCAGAGGTTTGGTGAAAACAATGGCCCGATGAAATATAAAATACAGAGGGAAATTGCTGGCCTAACACAAGGAAATTGCACAGTAATGGAATATTTTAGCAAGCTGAAAAAATTGTGGGATGAGTATGCATGCATTGTTCCTTTTATAAGCTGTGATTGTGAGAAGAGAAAGCTTGTGGTACAGCAGGATGCAGAAACTAAGCTCATTCAATTCCTGATGGGGCTTAATGATAGCTTTGATCATTTGAAGAACCAAATAATGCTGCAGGATCCTTTACCAACAGTTAACAAAGCATATTCTATGGTATTATCAGCAGAAAGGCAAAGAATGATACAGAATGTCTATGGGAAAAATAATGTGGCTATGATGGCCAAGACTGGAAACAATGGAAGAGGATATGGAGGTTAAGGTGGCAGAAATAATGGTGGAAAAAGAGGAGGAGGACAACAATGGCAAGGAGGAAGGGGCAGAGGTGCTTACAGATTGACAAAAGAGGAGAAAGCAAAATTGGTGTGTGAAAAATATGGTATGAGAGGTCATACAATTGGTAGTTGTTTTAAGGTACATGGAGTACCTGATTGGTACAAGACACTCAAGGAGCAACAGGGACAACCTTTTGTTAATGCAGTGGAGGTTTGTGGGAAAATGAAAATGCAAGGAAAGGGTAACAATGAAGGAACCAAGAGCAATGATTTGACTGCAGTTATCCAACAGTTAAATGAGTTGACTCAATACATTAAGGGCAAAGAAAGTGTAGAGAACAAAGTGGATTATGCTCAATTTGTGAGTTTTTCTAATGCAGACAGTGAAGAGGATGTTCACTATGCACTAACTACAGTTGAGAAAGGGGGCAAGAATGAATGGATAGTGGACACTGGAGCTAGCAGACACATCTGCAACAACATTTGTTTGATGAGAAATGTTGCAAAGCTTAAGAATCCAATCTCAGTTTGCCTTCCAGATAGCACATTGAAGTTAGTTCATAGTAAAGGAGATGTAATGATAAATGGTAGATTGAAGCTGCAGGATGTTTGGTACATGCCACACTTTAAGTACAACTTATTGTCAGTAACACAGCTTTGTGGTAGTGGAAATCTTAAGTGGAGTTTTACAAATACTCAGTGTTACTTGGAAGACCAACACAGCAACAAGGTACTTGAATGTGGAAAGTTAGATGAGAACTTATATATTTTGAAGGCCAATGAGATAGAATAAGTTGCAGGCATTGTATCCTTGGAGACATGGCACAAAAGGCTAGGACATGCCTCCTTCTCTACATTGAAACACATGAGCTTTCTTAAACTGAATTGCAATGAGCACAATGAAAGGATCATTCACAGATGTGATGTATGTTTGAAGGCAAAGCAACACAGACAACCTTTTACAAGAAGTGATTTGCAGACTCAAAAGATTTTTGAGCTTGTGCACATGGATATTTGGGGACCATGCAGGGAGCAAGCAATGACTAACACACCATTTTTTTTCACCATTGTGGATGACTTCAGCAGAGCCACATGGTTGTATTTGATGAGCCATAAATCTGAAACTGAAAAATGGATCAACACCTTTGTTAATATGGCAGAAATACAGTTTGACTGCAAAATGAAGAAAATAAGGTCAGACAATGGGAAGGAGTTTCTAGACAAAGAGCTGCAAAGTTTCTTTCACCACAAGGGAATTTTGCATGAAACAACTCGTGTTTATACACCCAAACAGAATGGAGTAGTGGAGAGGAAGCACAGACATCTACTTGAAGTGGCTAGGGGGCTCATGTTTCAGTCCAATTTGTCCATCCAATTCTGGCCCTTGTCTATTTTAGCAGCTGCTTTCATCATTAATAGAGTGCCAAGCTCTTTACTGAACTGGGAGACTCCTTTTGAGAGATTGTACAAGAAGGCTCCTGATTATGAAAGGCTAAAGCCTTTTGGTTGTCTAGCCTATGCAGCTTCCACTAACCCAGCTAAGTCCAAATTTGCACCAAGGGGCATCAAATCAATTTTTGTGGGATATGTCATTGGGAAAAATGGATACCAGCTATATGATTTGGAGGAAGAAAACCTCTTTGTGGCTAGAGATGTAGTATTCATTGAAGATGAATTTCCATACAAGAAAGGAGAAGTAGCTGCAGAAATACCACTACCTGTTCCCATTGATGAAGGATCACCTTCTCCAGAACTTGAGCAAGAGTCTCTTCCAAAATCCTTACCAGTTGACCAAGAAGAAGATGTGACATCTAAAAGGAGTCAAAGGGTGAGAAGACCACCACACTGGCAGCAGGACTATATATACTCACAGGTGTCACAAGGCACTACAGTGCATGATGATTCCTTATCAGCCTTTATGGGTAATGTTTCACTCATAAGGGAGCCTACACACTATGGAGAAGCCTGTAAAAGTTCAGCATGGGTTGAGGCAATGGAAAGGAAGATCACAGCCTTAGAAAATAATCACACATGGGTGCTCACCACCTTACCTACAGAAAAAAAGGCCATAGGCTCAAAATGGGTATATAAAGTCAAGAGGAAGGCTAATGGGAGTGTTGAAAGATACAAAGCTCGGTTGGTGGCAAAGAGGTACAATCAAACTGAGAGAGTGGACTATTTTGATGTATTCTCACCAGTGGCCAAGCTTGTTACAGTTAGAATGATCATTGCAATGGCCACCATGCATGACTGGGAGCTGCACCAATTGGACATCAACAATGCCTTCTTGCATGGCCATCTTGCAGAGGAAGTTTACATGTTGCCACCACAGGGATATACTAAAGCCAAGAAGGGTGAGGTTTGTAAGTTGGTTAGGAGTTTATATGGACTTAAGCAGGCCTCCAGAGAGTGGAATAATCAGCTATGCAAGACCTTACACTCCTTTGGTTTGTTGTAGTCAACTCATGATAATTGCCTATTTACTATGAAAGGAGACTCCTATTTTATTGCCCTTTTAGTTTATGTTGATGACATCTTGCTCACAGGGTCTGATTCTGGTTTGCTCGCAGACATAAAATCTTTTTTAGATAAAGCTTTTACCATCAAAGATTTGGGCCATGCTAAGTACTTCCTTGGAATTGAGATTGAAAGGTCTGCTCATGGGGTTTTTCTCTTCCAAATGAAGTATATTCTTGATCTTTTGGGAGACATAAACCTACTTAGCTGCAAATTGGCTCCTTCTCCTCTGCCACATGGACTCAAACTTCAAAATAAAGATGGCAGCCCACTGGAACATCAAGATCAATATAGGAGGCTCATTGGGAGGCTTTTGTACTTGAACATGACTAGACCAGATGTCACTTATTCAGTTCAGCAACTAAGCCAATTTGTGAGTGCACCTTATTCCTCTTATTGGGAAGCAGCCACACATATCCTGAGATATTTAAAAGGTACCAGCTCCCTTGGCATTTACTTTCCTCAGAATGGTGCATGGTCCATTACCTCTTATAGTGATGCAGACTGGGCATCTTGTAAAGATACCAGGAGGTCTATCACAGGCTATTGTGTCCTTTTGGGTGATTGTTTAATTTCCTGGAAGAGTAAAAAGCAGCACACCATTTCCAAATCCTCAGCAGAAGCAGAATATAGGGCCATGAGTTCTTTGGTTTCAGAACTGCTGTGGATTTCTTATGTTGCTAAAGATCTTGGGATTATACTGCAAGAGCCTTATCCTCTCTGGTGTGATAATAGGGCAGCTCTTCACATCACTGCCAATCCGGTTTTTCATGAAAGAACTAAGCATCTGGACATTGATTGTCACTTTGTTAGGGACAAGTTCAAGTCAGTTTTTGTCCTTCCTATGTTCATCAGTTCCAGGCTGCAGCTTGCTGATCTCTTTACCAAGGTCCTCACTGGAAAACCGTTTCAGCTTCTTCTGTCCAAGTTGGGCATGCGATCGAGCTCCCTAGGCCCAACTT